AAATAAACAACAACAAAAAACATTGGAATATAATTTAGGCTTTAAATCTGTGAAAAGCAGGTTGCCTCTACGAGTATTACATCCAATTTAGGGAATTACTGATGACGGCACTACTTGGAAAATAGAGGGTTAATCTACTTGACGCCATATCTTTTCAGTAAATTATTTTTATTTCTAAGGATGTTTCCTCCATCCAGCAAAGTCTGCGAAAACATAAAAACTGAGATTATTCACAAATTTCCGCACAATAAGTTGCGTTACTGAAACGCACTATGTGCGCGTACGTGTGCCGGATATAGGGATGCACCCCTGTCTGAATGTCACCCCCTTTGCATATATCTACACATTCCCCGCATCCCTTACGTCGTATGTCCGCCTGACTGACTGTTCGTTCGTCCACGTGCATCAGAATAGAACTTTAATTGTCCACCTATTCTCCTCAAGTCGCGCTGAATGAGCTGCCACAATGGTCTACCCCTCTGTACCTTCCCTCCCTTTCTCCACCCCCTCGCACCGGAAAGAATAACAATTTACGGATTCGCACACGCAGACGTGATTTGGTTAACGATTTATGACGATGAGAAAAAATATTGTCGCGTTGTTGATGTCGATAAAAGATGGGTACAATGATATGTTAGGGGTGGGAGAGGGATTAGAGTGGATATTTTGTTGGAAATATTGCGTGAGAAATGAATTTTGAATGGTTCATCCTGGATAACTCATTCGGCTATTCCGTAATCGCAAACAATATTTTTTGGAAGTTATATGACATGAGCATCACGAAATGTGTAGAGCTCGGATTTGTATGAAATTCTCACACAATGTCACAATTATGCCAAGGACAAAGAAGGTTAATAGTTTTTGAAATTAGGTCCAGCAGCGGAGAAAAATGTCCTAAACAAAAAAATAAAAATCGCTCAAACTTTTACGTTTCAGAGGATCCTGGGCATTTTTGAAAAAAAATAGGTGGAGAAAATTGTACCCATTAGACATATTTCGCACACCACAGATGTCCCGTACCTTTGTTCTTAAAACTTACAGAAATATTTACAGTACTTTTTCGGAAGTATAGAGTTAGTCTACTTGACGACACTTTTCAGAATTACCTCACTGGAGTCAATGAAGGCATTGCGAGTGCAGGTGTTGACCTATTAAAATGCTCTCAGTAATGAGTAGATGTGATGATTTTTGTTACTATTACCAATGATGTTAATATTTGCAGTCTACCACTTCTTACGCCTCCTAATTCTCCACGTTTAAACCCTATAAACGCTTTTCCCAAAACAGTTATGAATATGGAAAGAAATTTTCGCAATTTTTCTTCATTGTTTGCCCACAACTCTGCCAACATTGGACTAATTTTTGAAACCTTCAAGGCGTTTGTATCCCCACGACATAACACTGAATAACAATAAAACCAGTATATGGTATGTGCACTTCTATAATGGTAGGCCACATGATATTCTATCGGATAAGACTGACCTTCTTAGTATGCATATAGATGCAAGTCTAACTTGGTTGGAAAACATAAAACATATTTGCAAACAAATCAATTCGACATATTTTGCGATATTTAAATTGAAACATAATGTCACAACATGGACACTTTTGACCATTTACTATGCCATAGTATAGTATATCCACATATTAGTAGGCACAAAGTGTTACACGGACAAGCAAGTATGATAATCGTACTTGTTGTGCTGCAGACAATAATTATTCGGTTGTTCCTCAATATTAACCGAAGAGACTCTTGTAAAGAAACTTTTATTTTTTTTGCATTTACGCACAGGAAGAAATTTACGCAAAATAAAGAAATAGTAGCGCTACTCTATTTGAAAAATCGCCCCTCCTCATGTGTATCAAAATATAATAGCCCACCGGCTGATCTGTGAAGATCAACCAATGTCTGTCATTAAAAAAAAACCGCCTGAGAAAATATCCTGTTGACAAATGCACTAAACGAATATTTTGCAATCTAACGTCACCATAGCGTCCATAGCATAATTTCTGTACTTTTAGTTATCTACTTATTGGTATGTGGGTGTAGCTTCTATTTATTGAATTTCTAGACATTGTTTCAAATGCTTATTGGATGTATATCTCTTATAGACCCATAAATTTCAACATTGGTCTTCAATGTCCATATAGGTACTATGTATACTGTATAGTTTGCCGCTTTGACTTATCCCATATCAGTCTTTTTTGAATAATACGCCAAATCCGAGTATAATACCCACTTTAAGAAGGGATGATATAAGAGAGACAAATCAAGGAAAACGGATTATACTATTTTTGTGATATACAGTTTACGTACGAGGAACATAACCTCGATCCCAAATTTTTTTGCGATACTTCTTTGACCTATTGGCGTGGAGGTGAAATTGTTCGGTCTCATTTAGATTTGCACAAAAGACATACTTTCCATTTTCATTTAGCAAATTAAATGTGCTGTCACGGAATCCCAAATATAAGCAAAGCCCCACGTTCCATAAATGTGGTTTTCAATTATGTGTCAGTGAAAACTCAACGTAACATGCCTTATCCCATCTATATTATTGTTCAAATGATAATGTCTAAACCAACGCAACGTGAGCATACTGTAATTACAACTGTAATTTAATTTTTATCATTAGCGCCCCTTTGACTGTATGACTGGCAATTTCGAAACTAAACTCGATAGCTCGATTCCATTCCGAGCACTTTAGATAAAATTATTAATAGTTGAGTTACCTCCAACTATGATAGATGGATTGTTGCGTTTGAATGTATTTCCACCAATTAGGAGCGCCGCTCTAAAGTCGGAGAGTTAAAGCGTCAAGCAAAAAGCGTAACATTCGAACTGTACGCTCGGTGTTAGTACAGTAGACAGGATTCAGCTTCCCATGAGCTTAGACTTAACATCTACAAAAAATGTTCAAAGTTATTACCAGCCGCTAAATTAGTACAGTTAGTTATCCTAAACAGCAGCAATTAAGTTAATCATAATTCGAAAACTAGTAATAACTCTTGTTTGTCAACATCCCTATAGAGATGGGGATACCTTCCTTTTATTCTCACCCTAAAGTTGAAGTCGATAGCACGAATGGTTTATGGATTATGTGTATTTTTTCAGTATAATTTTGTTTATTGGTATGGAATCGACAAAAAGAATTACGAGGGATACTAGAAAATAAATCTATCTAGCCATGGTAAAAAACAATTACTTAGCCATTAAAAAAAATAAAATGTACAAGCATCGTGAATGTCAAACATGGCATGTGTTGCTTTACTTGCAAAATTTGATTTAATTTTGAAAATAAGTTTCCAATTTATAAAGTGTCTGTGAACTATGAGGAAAATAAATAACTTAAAAGTATCGCAGTGTCAGAAATTTTTTGACAAAAGAGGGCCATCAGCCAAAAACAGTTCTTGAGGGAATGGTTGTCGTTCTATGGGGATGGTGCAACATCATATTACTCAATAAAATTTTGGTCGACACAGTTTCGTTGGGGGCATGGATCCATAAAAGGCTATCTTAGAATTGGAAGAGGCAAACCAGAAATAAATGATAAAATGACTCAAAAGTGGAAGCCATGGTACGCGAAGATCGTCATGTGAAGCTCTCTACCATTACAACAGCATTGAATATACCGGAACCAACAATAACCATCTTGCACGAAAATCTGCTTTGAAATTTTAGCAAGCGATTTGAAAACTTTTCAATTTTGACTTTTGCCACAAACTGTGACTGGTGCCGAAAGTGGGGTGCATCATTGGAATCTTGAGACAAAAACAGACTTCAACCAGTGGCTTCATAATGAGCCTCCACCCCCCGGAGGCAAACGTCTGTTGGAAAATTGATGATAACCATTTTTTTGGGACATCGGAAGCATCCTTCCCATTGCCAAAAGGGACATCAATAAATGCAAACGCCTATGTGAACACGATGAAATTTTAACGTCACGCAATCAACCAGAAATGCATCTTCGTTGCGATAAACCATCCGCCCTATAGTCCAGACTTGGCTCCGTCTGACATCTAACTCTTTAGATTTCTAAAGAAACATCTTCGAGGACGCCGTTTTGACTCTGATGATGGCCTAAAAACAGCCATCCACGACTTTTTCGAAAATCAAGAGGAAGCATTATTTTATAAGGATATAAGTTCTCTGGCGGAGAAATGGCGCAAGTGAATTGATGGAGGAAGGATTATATTGAAAAATGAAATTATCAAAAAAAAAATCGTACGTCTTTTCTTTCATGACTAGCTGGATTATTTTCTAGTGTCTCTCGTATACGAGCCCCTTCCTACTTCAGTTGGCCCAACTATTGAAATCTTAGTTTTTTTCTTATCAAACACAAATAATAAAAATGTAGCAGGGTGTTATAGGTTTAAAATACTAACAATGAATATTTTGATAATATATAGTAGAAAACACCAACTTTATCACTACCTAATCAAATTTGCAGCATAAAAATAACACATTTCAATGCAAAATAAGTCTATAACGCATAGGTGGATGTGAAAAATAAAAGCCATGAGAATTGTGTTTATTAATCACAGCTGTCAGAATACGTTTAAAATAGTTTTGGGTAATTGAGGTTAAATGGGTAGAGGAAAGGTTATTAGTGAGAAAATTCGATTACTGATAATTAAATTTTTCAATTCTGGGAAATCAAACTCGAAAATTGAAACTTTGTTAGACTTATCGCGGTACAGTGTGAGAAATATTGTTAGAAGATATAACGTAACTGGTTCAGTTAATATTAAGCCACGATATGTGAAAAAAACTGATATCACAAATGCCGACCGACGAGCATTAAGAAGAATAATCGTGAAAAACAGGCGTGCCAATTATTTACAATTAAGTGCTCTGTGGTGTGACGCTGTTGGAAGGAGAATTTCGAGGTCCACAACTCATAGAGAGGCCCACAAACTTTGATTTAGCACTTGCAAGGTAAGTTTTCTTATAAAAAGAAGTTAAGTAAAAACCCTAAAGTTGCACAACTTGGTTATAGGCCAAAGAAAAGCCACTATTAACTCCACTGCAAAAAAAAATCGGCTTAGATGGGCTAAAGAACATAGACAATGGACACCTCAACAATGGTGTGCAATACAATGGAGTGATGAGGCCCGATTCGAAGTTATGGTCTGGGGCAGTATGTCATCAAAAGAAGTAGGAAAACTTCATTTTATTGATGGAAATGTGGATACAAACAAATATTTGGCAATTTTAGAAGAATCGCTTTTACCAGTGATGGACGAATGTTTGACATCCGGCCAAGATTTTGTGTTTCAGCAAGATGGTGCAGCGTGCCATACCTCAAAAAAGGCTATAAAATGGATGGAAAAAAATAATGTACCACTTTTGAAATGGGTTTCTAGCAGTCCAGATCTGTCACCTATTGAAACTTTGTGGCACGAGATGAAAAAGGTTCTACGACAACATCCTGCTCGTACAATCACCAAACTGAGACAAAAGCTTCAATAAATATGGGATTGTTTTACACCAAATTTTTGCCACAACTTGGTCAACACTTAGCCCCAAAGAATTCCAGCCGTAATAAAAAATAAAGGTGATGTTACCCAATGGTAATCTTTCAATTGTTGCTTTGTTAACTTCGCGCATTTATTCGCACATTGTTTATTTGTTCAGATGTTCTATTAGTTATAAGTCTAAGTGATTTCAAATATGTATTTTTTACGACTAGAGTGTATCTAAAATGTTTTTGAGAAAATATATTGTTTTAGAAGTAAATAGTTTCGTCATGTTAAGTTTATAAAGGCATATTTTGGTACAAGTCTTGAAGTGGGCCAACTGAAGTGGGAAGGGGCTCGTATATAAAGTGTTTTGATTCAGGTCTTAGAGGAATCGGGCAGTATGGAAGCATGTACATTCCAAAAATGTGCGTGATCCATGTAAAGGAGCACCTCTCACTTGTCCCTCCAACGCAAATAACACTGATCACGTCTAATCAGCGCCTAAGCATCTTAGGCGAATGTCACACGATCATTATTTAGCGTGATCTGTCAGCATTTATTATGGAATTTTATATTTATTGACAATTTAGTCATGACGTCAGTTATTACTTCGCCATCTATAAAGATATCGTTCAATCCCACAACAATTGAAAGAACAGTGAAAGGAATGAAGAATTAGATGAAGTATTATACAATTGTCCGGGAGGATAGCGGTTGGTTATTAGGTATTGGCTTGATTGAATGAATGAATGAATGAATGAATCTTGAAATTAGAGGCATTCCGGCCACCGTAAGGAGCCAGTGCATAGGCCGCTTAAGCGGGCCCTTATGCACCTCTACAATCCTTAGATCACAAGCCTCGCCCTTTTAGCGAAGTTGAGAATCGCCTTGAGTCCAAGCTCCTTGACGTCCTGAGGGTCCAAAGTAATGGACCCCAGTATACTCTGCCTATAGTAGCTCAGAGCTTCACAGCGACACAAAACGTGCGCCGAGGTCTCTTCCTCTACCCCGCAGCGTTCACACAAGGGATCCTCATCCACCCCCATCACGTGCAGGTGAGACCTTAACGTGTTATGGCCCGACAACAGTTCCACCAGAAACTATAGGTTGGCTCTATCCAGAGATAGGCAGAAGCGTCCATCCTTAGCACTGGGCCCTTCTATGAGTTCCCATGCATGGCGGAGATGTCTGGAGATACTTCTCCATTTCTGAGAGTGTTGTCTTGCAACCCACGACTCCATTTTCCTCCTAGCTTTATGCGCGGTCAATCCTAGAGCTGGCTCAGGACCAACGAGCTTGATGGCTGATCCTGTCTTCGCCAGAGTGTCCGCCGTCTCATTGCCCCTTATCCCAGCGTGTCCCGGTACCCATATTAACGATACCGGATGCCTTGCTGCGAGGCGATCCAGAGCCTCCCTGCATTGCAATACAAGACTCGAAGTAATCTTACAGGCACTTAGTGCTTTCATTGCAGCCTGGCTGTCGGATAAGATTGTTATTCTTCTCCTAGGCCCACCCTCCTCCAGAATGTGAGATACACAAGCCAGAATCGCAAAGATTTCCGCCTGGAAAATAGTGGTGTATCCACCTAGAGGCGTAGTTTTAGGCCCAGAGACCCCAGCACCTGAACTTGCGGTTGAAGCGATATTTAGGGGTAATACGATCACCCCTGCTTAGAAGGACGGGGTCCTCCCTTTGCAATTCGACTAATATGGCAGTATGCCCCTTGACAGGATTCAGGAGAGCCCAGCTGCCCTGACTCCAAAGTCGATGAGCGACTACTCTCGCTTCACCGCGGATCAACAGATCCAACGGTGGGAGATCCAACAGAGCTTCCATTGCACTCAATGGCGTTATTCGCACTGCGCTTGTAATACTGTTACAGGCCAAACGCTGAATTTTATTGAGTTTGGCCTTAGTTGTCTCAGTTCTAATGCAAGGCCACCAGACCAGGGAGCCGTACAAGAGAGATGGACGTACTATCGTCGTGTAGAGCCAGTATACCACTTGGGTTTAGGCCCCCACCTTACACCGATTGGCTTGATTAGTCGAGCAATTGTCATGGTTCAAAGACGGCCAAGCTAAATTTTTTAATATTTATAAGAGTTGATTTTAGATTCTGGGTTCAGGGTTTCATTTTGACAACTGCCTATAAAATTTCAAGCAACCGTGGTCGTGTATGTATTGAAGATGTTGCATGATACCAACAGTAGCACAGTTCCAAGAGCTGGGTGACTTCCTTTAAACTTGCTGACTAGACTATGGAACGCAAAAAGCCTGCCAGTCGAACAGTGCGTTTAGTTTCATTAATTTTCGATTATAATTTCGTTAACTAATTGCATAACGACTCAATTTATGATCGGCAAGTGTGATTACGAGGAGCTTTTAATTTTTAATCTAATAGACGGAGGAGCTGCGGAGAAGGTTTTTGGATGATGGCGAACTTTAATTAATATTTATGAAAATGGTAAGGGGCAGTTGGAGATTCTAGCGCAGGCAGGAAACGGAAAGGGTTAGAGGGATTAGGGATGTATTTAGATCATCGTTTTTTAATTCGAACGAAAGCTATATCTTGAACGGTCTCGTGTCAGCACTAATTGTTCTTAACAAAGTCTTAGCACTTGACACTTCCAATTCCTCGATAAACCCATAGCTTAAAAGATGTTTATGAAAAAGTTCTTGCTTAGTAAGTTTTAAGACCACCACTTCCGATGTGGCTTTAGCTCTAGGCTCACCCGTGAAAAAGCGTCAATCTCAAAACTCGAAAAGTAAAATGTGAATAAATCTTCAAAGTAATTGGATACTAATTTAAACGCTCAGCTTATAATTAGGAAGCCATTGTAAGCCAAGTGTTAGAATGTATTCAGAAAACACTTCAAAAGTTATGGTCCATATGATGTTACATGACTAAATAAGGAAAACGAGAAAACGCAGCAGCTCTACTCCACTTAGATCCATTTAATAGATGAAGTAGGTCCCTACATAGCAAAACTAATTATTTTTACAGTTCAATAAATCCCGTTTTTATTACCTCCGCCATGTTGTTTGTTACAACTGAGATTTGATTATCAACTTTCTTAATTAAAATATTTTTATATCGGTCACCTTCTTCATTCCTCACAAACTTGCCTGGAGGGGAAATATAGTTCAGGAGCAGGCTGGATATACTGCAGAAATTTTTGACATTCTTCATGAAAAACAGTCGAAAAAAAGCTAATGACAGTATCAATGACTTTGGCGGTTTTAATATTTTTCTGAGCCTCAACGTGATTCCCTTCGTATGGGTACATCACAATATTCCATGCAGAGTATGCGATTTTGTCATGAGTTTCTTATACTCAGACGTTGCACAGTTTGGAGCTAGAAAACAGGTGTAAGATCTATAGAGAAGTGATACAACAGGTAGCAAGTGACCTAGTATTAGTGAGCCATCGAAATACTTGTTTTAGGGCCGATTTTACCAACATTAATATTATGGACCAATGGGAAAATACCTTATCGAAATGCAATTTGAGAGAAGCTATCAAATGTCTCAGAATATTAGTGATTTCTATTAAAATATTGAATAAAATCGTGAAAATTCGACTGTATTATAAACAAGACCACTTCTTGATTCCAACATGATGCTTTTGTGCAGAGAAAACAGGTCAACCCAAAAGCCAATGGGAATGCGGCAAATAATAGGTCGATTTTCTAGCTGTTAAATTTGGCAGCAGATTTGGACGTTTGTTAATGCATGGCAATCTCGAATTTAAGTTCAATATACTATTATCATTACATACCTGTTGAATAGTGTGGATTTGTCTGTATTTTGCAAGAAAATAGAATATAAAATACATTCCATCCAATTCCTCATCTTCCTTTACATCATGATAGCAATCATTTATTAATTTACGGGTTAATGAATTTCTTCAAAGCAATAAAAACATTGTCCTCTCCATCCTGAAACACAGGTAATATGTGTAAGACGTGTCAATCCCTACATCTCCGTGATGCATAATGGTGGGGTTATCTATCTGTCACTCGCAGGGTTGCCAAGTCTAACGAAGATCACGTCCCGTGAGGGTGCGACATGAATCTTTTACATTTGCTGGTTTTGATTTTAAAGTAGGAATATAAACATAGTACTTATGATAGTTGGAGCTAGACTGTTAACACTTCTTGAAGAATATTTGAAAAATGTGAACACCGTCATGGTCTGTTGTCAAATTGCAAACTCCTTATATGAAAATTCTTACATACAGTGGACCTTCGTCATAGTTTACTATCTTGATTATGATCATTTGTAGCAGATGAGTTGAATCATCAAATTGATGAACAAATATCAGAAAGCTCTTATATACCTACATACAGAGGACTTTTCATGTAAATATACCAGGTATCATGATTATAAGCATCTTTGGTGGATTGTTCGATCCGGAATGGGAAAGATCTCCTTTTTATGAAAATATTTTTGGTATCATCTAACCGTTGCAATCAGTGCACAAAAACTGTGACATATGATTTATAGCATAACCCGCTGCCCTATCAATACAAATTTAACATATAGGTCACCTAGCCGTGGGGATGAAGTGGTCGGGATGAATACCACGGCAGCAACTGACGATTTGGGCATGTCTGGTAACAACGTCTGAAGTGAAACTCGCTAACTTCACAAATTTGAAGATTTTGTACAATTTCTTTGAAAATGATGAAAGATATGTCTGATTTGGCGGGGTAATGTCGCAGAAAATTGGCAGTAACTCTTTCTGACACAGTCCGGAACGAAAGATGACGATACTCGTGAAGTGTATTGATACTTCTAAATATAGGATCCTATCGAACATCCCTACTGTCAAGGTGTATAACCCAAGGTACCGACGGAGCTATTTTGCGGCGTCATGGAAATAATTTTAAATTTTCATTTGAATTTTTTCAAGTGTTGTGCAATGATTTTGGGAAAAATGTCACGAATAGTCTTATAAAGCATAGTAGAGTATATTTCAACAGTTGGCGGAACTTACTCCACTG